TTCTTTGTTCGGCTCTGAGACAGTCTCCACTTTTAAACACTGGTGGGGATGAACTCCACCTTCAAGTGGCCATTTGAGGAACTGCAGCTTTGGTTTTCAGTCCAGGAAGAGATTAAATTAATATCCAGGTGCCATTAATACAAATTAATGGCACCTGGATATTAAGGTCTTGATGTGGCACAGAGGAGGAAGATGCACAGATAATGCTGAGCAGGATCGACTCTCTCAGTTTTGGTTTAAGAGTCAGATTCTTCATGGAAACTTTTTTTTTTTTTTTTTTTGTTAACAAAGGACAAAGAAGGGGTTGTAAAGAAACATGGGATGAAGAAACGTGCAGTAAAACGTGGCGTTTAAACAAAGACATCCGCCACTCTCCTCTCCACACCCGCCTCCTATGTGGGCTTTTAAAAAGTGAGATGAAGGAGCACTCTGGGGAGCTGGAGGGAAGGAGTCTTTTTATTGCTCGCTGCATAGTTGTCCTTCCAAAGGAGGGCTTGTTTGGGGAAATCCTCGAGCTGAAATACAGGATCTATACAGTTCTGCAGACACAGTGTCCGGGCTTGTACAATAGGCTCCACTGTAGGGCCGAGGCGGGCTCTCTGCTTCTTTGTTGAGCTCCCTTCACGGGGCAGATGATGTCATGGTGCAGCAGGCTGGCAGACTCATGACTGCAGACAGCTGATCTGCGCTCTGAGCCTCGTCAGACAGTCTCCCCCCCAAGGCCGTCAGAGCTCTCCGCCTCCCCTCCCCACCTCATCAATCATCCTTGTGCTCCACTCTCTGCTCCTCAGCCCGCCAAAAACTTCATATGTGTGAGCTAATGAGTGCTTTAATAGTGGTGAGTTAAATATTTAAGACATGACCACATAATATGTGTTAATAAAGATGTGGAAATGAAAGCATGTTGACCTTTTCAAGAACGCCACTAGAAAGGGAGGAAAAAATGCATTTCATTTAGACACGGTATGATTAAACGGCTTATTTGGAAATAAAAGCTGTGTCCAGCTCTCGGGGGGGGGCAAATACACCAGGACGTAGGAAATTTTGAGACATCTGGCTCTAAATATCAGAGAGATGAGATAAGGAAAATAAGTGAGTCATCAGCATAACAATAACATGGGCGTCAATAATGGGACCCAGTGAAAGACGTGTGCTCTGCAGTTCAACTCGACTTAATGTTGATTCACTTTTTGACAGAGGTTCAATGTTTTTATTATTAAAT